GGGAAAGGGAAAGGGAAAGGGAAAGGGAAAGGGAAAGGAGAGGAGAGGAGAGGAGAGGAGAGGAGAGGAGAGGAGAGGAGAGGAGAGGAGAGGAATGATGTGTTGATCATTATTTTTTCCCTATCCTTTACTTTTAGAGACAGAAATTCACAAGTGTTTTTCTTGTGTAATAGGAATGGTGGTAGTGGTGGGCTGAGCAGCATTTCTCCACTGAATCCTTTTAGCTGCTTAGAACCAGCAGGCTGAACAAATCCAACTTTAGGAGGCAGGTGTGGTAACAGAGGTGAGCTGAAATGATGATCAGAAACTGTATGACTGATGGGAAAGACCTGGATGTATCCCAGGATACTATTTTATATATATATATATATATWTTTTTTTTAATTTAGCTGAAGAATTTTGGTTAATTTTTTTTTCTTAAAATATATGTATGTATATTCTCAAAGTTTGCATTAACTTGAAAATATTGTAATGGACATCCAAAAATTTCAGTCTGAAGGGAAAACAACTACCCTGTTTTTAAGATAGCTCTGCCTTTTCATAAAAAAAAAAAAAAGCTCACTCCTAAAAGTGATATACAGTTAGTATTTGCCTGATTCCATAATGATGATGGAATTTAATCTATATAGACTAGAATATAGACTGAAACAAATTGCTTAGGCAAATAGGACAGAGTCAGTCTCAATAAGTCTGAAGACCTGAACTGAACAAATTCACCTCACAGCAAATAAAGGACAAGATGAAAGACTAGGAGGTTCTGACGATGTAGATAAAAAACTCATGGCTTCAACAGAGGTGCAGAAACCTATTTAATAAAAGAAAAAAGTTTTATTTTACTAGATCATGAACTTACTACATCTTTTAGATGTTATGACCGCTCATTATGCGAGTACCAAGCCCATGAAATTGTGAAATGCCAAATTCAATATCTGTAAGAAACTAATACTGACGATATCTAAATTTGTATATAAAATAAGCCAGAGATTCACATGAAGGACAACTGGCATATGTAATTCTTCTAACTGCCCATACAGCTAGGTTCTCCTCTCTGAAAACACAGTGACTACATCCAAATTTCTGTTTTGGAATGGTCTTTGGACTGTCCATCATACCATGAGAGGCAGTTTCAGAGGAGTCTTGGGACTGTGCTCAGATCAGAGCTTTTCTAAATATAAAGCATGGAAAGAGGCAATCACATCAATCAATTTTTCAGTTACTTACAAAAATATAGACATACGATGAATGACAAGGTCCCTCTTACACACACTGCCCCTGGAAGCTTGACTGAGGTTGGCGCTGGCTGCACAAGACATCTCAATGATGGCCGTGGAAGGGAGGAGACAACTTCCTTCATGCCCTGTGACAGAGCCATCAAGATCCTCAAGGACAGCGGAGTGAGGAAAGGGGAAGGACACTTGATAAGGAGCGTTGATGAAAGTCAGCCGTTCGGTGCTCACTGTGAACCCACCTGGAGAACAAGCAGCAATTCAAAATCAGGGACTGACCTCTTCAAATAAAAGGCCCATGGACTTGGGAAAACGAGGTGTTAGCTTCCCTTCATCTGTCCCTTGGATAAACGACTGCTGAGTCAGAAAGAGTTTCAAAAAACTCTTTTCAACTGTCAAGTTTCAAAAAGAGAAAAAAGAAAAAAGAAAAGAAATAAAATGGAGAAATAACTGGTTATAGGAATTGCCATGTTCTGGACAAATCCAGGCATCCTGTTGTGACAAGACTCATTGTTGCAGCCTCCTCTGATCCAATTGCTGTTCTTGGCTCGACTTTGAACTCTTGAGCAACTCCAAATCCTCTTTGCAAACCCCTTTGTCAAAATGTAGAGTCCCCAAAACATTGATCCTTACAATTCCTTTACACTCTGCTTATAAAATAAATTCTTTGGAGGTGAGGGTGATCTACCTATGTGTTCATTATATAACTGTACATATGTACATAATCTGGCACAATAAAACCTTGGGGGAAATGTTTGGCTGGAGGGATCTCTTCACAACTGCAACATGGACAGTAACAGAAAGCTCATCAGGACTAAAGCTCAGGAAGTTTTCAAACAGGTTAATATTTCCAGAAATGTCAGGAAATCACTGCCCTACAAATGATAACAAGTTGACTTTGGCATGAGCTTTCATGGGCTACATTTGATTAGTACTTGACAATCATATTGCCAGTTGTAGCCTCTCTGAGTCAGATTTTACTGTTCCTGCTGTCCTTTGATCTCACCTCCTGAAGTCTTTTTCTCTGTTATGTTATTGTAGGACAGTATACATTTATATATAAATATATTTAACAAGTAATTGCAGTTGGAACGTTCTTCAAAGAGCCTTTGGGCACCTCATCAAAGCTCAAAAGGATCCTTAGTTTACATATGTTATCTTAGGCAAATTTACCTAGGATTTAGGCTGGCCTGAGGGAGGAGCTTGGTGGAATTCTGTGCGGATGTGTCATAGCTATTAAAGAAATCATCTCTCCTGAAATGTTACCCCCCAAAATGAAGAAGCAATAACAATTCACTGTGTTAAACCCCATTCCTAAATCTCACTAAGGCTTTTGAAGCACTCTCCCAACCTCAAAGAACTGAGAAAATGAGATCAGTGCAGCCTCAAAATGAGTGATATGTGACTTCAGCTAAATAATGAAGCTGTTTCAGATGGAGGGTGTCTGGAGAAAACTTGCAACCATACAGAGCACAGCAGCTAAAGGACCTGGTTCAGCCCACCAGCAATATCAGCAAAACAAATATACAGAAGACAGTGATTATGATTAAGGACTAGTTATTACACATAYTGCTGTTACTCCAACTCAAGGATTTTCTCAGTTCATCTGAGCTGCACAACTAGTATGTTGTCTATCTTGAGTATACATATTATCATCTTATGTTTTACCTCCATGGAAATGGGGTATACAAGGCAGCTGTATACCTTGTGTACCTGGGAAATGGAGTAAGTGAAACAGAAAACCTATATTTTCATAACTCACCTATAGCAAGCATAGTGATGGGAATACAGAAACAAAACTGAGGTCAGTACCCACCACTGCTGAAGGCTTTCTCCAGCATTCAGCTGAAATATCTGTCAGCAATTCTTTTTGAAACCATAAAACTTTTACACGTGACTGTGAAGCGGGTGAATGCCAGGAACYTTGGAATCCTGCTAAATTGGTGTAAATCCAACTCACCCTGCCCTTGGTAACAGCCAGAACAGGTCCTGATTGCTGCACAAGTGCTTACATCAAAGTTTCCAAAAGTTGTGTTGGAGACAAACAGCTGGTATCTTTGGGGAGTCTTTAGTCCTGCTGACATACAGGTCCTGTCCTGCAATGAAGAAATGAAGAGTGATTTGAAATGTATCAGTGTTTGGGATTCCAAGCATCATTAATAAGTACAAGATCCATCAGCTTGTATTTAGAGCCTGTAAGATTTAAAGCCACAGTTCTAAGTCAATTTACACTATTTGAAAGACATTGACGTCTGACAAGCAGTATCTGTTTCATTCACCATTTGCAATATGTTATAGATCTAYGATCTTTACAAATGGCAGTAATTGCCTTGTCGTTATATGAAGGGAGAGGAAACTGCACCTTCCCTGAGATAAGTGTATTTGTTCATGGCATAAGACCTTCTGGACAGAGGATGTAGAGAAGTAGAATTGAGACCTATCAGCCTGCAGCAGAAGAGACAGTCAGAGAGAGAAGAGAGTGGACAGACACAGATGAGTCTCAGTAGGGACATAGAGATAGAGACACTTCTTGGGATCCAAATGTGATGGGTATCTTGATGCAGTACTGACACTAAACCTGGAGAAAGAGACACATGTGTAAGATACAGTGAGCAGACTTATGTGCAGCTGCTTCCACTTTATTTTGTCTCATCTAGCAAGCTTGAGTTTTCTCTATTTTAAAAAGATAGTAATTCCAAATTACGTTCTAAGGAAGATCTGGCTCTTGAGATTCAAAGTTCTGTTCTATGGTTGGGGTGGCATTTGAGCTAGACTCCTTTCAAGACTGTGTTTTATTTCATGGTCCAATCAAGAATAACAAAAAATAATAATCATTTGGAGACAGGAGAAAGGATAACATGAGAAAAAGAAGAGCAGAACTCACAGTCATCTGGAAACTAGGTGGTGATCCTAGGCCATGACACAGGGATTTTATACACCCCCCTCTGACTCTGCAAATTTATAGACAGAATGGGAAGAAGGATAAGCTAGTGGGTAATCTGGAGTAGAAAGAATGGACAGGAATGCACCTCATGAGGCTGTTTCTGAGGCTTGTAAACACTTTTGCAGGACAACTCTCTAAGTCCATAGAAGACAACTAAGAAATCCAACCTCATGTAAGACATTAAAATGTAGACTGAAAGTTTAGCCCTTTAAAGTGACATCCTTAATCTTGTTAAGAATCAGCAGCTCCACTGTGACCTTTGCTATCCTCAGGACAAGGCATCTGAGGTGACAATCCGTGGGTTAGCTTCTTCCAAGTGAAGCAGAAATCCCAGCCCCCAAATCACTTCTCAAGACATTGCTCTTAAAAATACTTATGTTTGCTCTTTCTTTCTTTCTTTCTTTCTTTCTTTCTTTCTTTCTTTCTTTCTTTCTTTCTTTCTTTCTTTCTTTCTTTCTTTCTTTCTTTCTTTCTTTCTNCTTTCTTTCTTTCTTTCTTTCTTTCTTTCTTTCTTTCTTTCTTTCTTTCTTTCTTTCTTTCTTTCTTTCTTTCTTTCTTTCTTTCTTTCTTTCTTCGATCCATCCATCCATCCATCCATCCATCCATCCATCACCATTTCTGTCAGGAAAATTACTTTAGGAAGTCTTTCCTTTGACTTCTGTGGGCACTGTAGATAGCCATGACACTGATATGCTAATTGATCAAAGTCTATTTTTTTCAATGCCTTGATATTTCTAGAAACCAATCATGTTTTAAAACACCACTTTCAAAAACTGGAAGGGCTAGAAGAGTGGAATATCCAGTGTTCCTGTTTAAATTAATGTCATAAAGTTTTAATTGATATTAAAGAGGCATCATTATTAAAGGCAGAATTACATAAATTAAGATGTAAATTATGACAAGGAGGCTCTTATCATGAGATAATCAAAGATAATCACCCCCCTGGGGTGCTGCAAGAAACAAGGCACAGCTGAGCGCCTCTAAATCTCTTAACAAGTACAACATTGAAGTTCTTCTATGGCTCAAAAGCAAAAACAAAGATATCCACCCTTTCCTGTCTGAGGGAAATTTGTTGTGGTTTTGAGCCACTGTAAGACTGCACAGTTGAGAGCAGGATTTTGTCTGAGCTAAATATTCTAGGTAGTTCAACCTGCTACAGAGATTTCTTTCTGCGAGCGTCTAAAGGAAACTCATCTAAACCTCTTTCTCAGCCAGTCATAGGGGAAATGAATTTCACAAACAGGAAGAGAAAACTAAAGCAGGACCAAAAAAAAAAAAAAAACAAAAAAAAACCAGCAAACAAACAACAACAACAAAAACTCAAACCCATGAATAAGCAGCTGTGGCCATCTGTTACTAAAACCCTGTTGTTATCAATGTTATTAATCTGTTAACAACATAGACATAGTAGCACCCAGAGGCTGCATAAAGAAATAAAGAAGATCAGGTTTACTGCATTAATAAAAAGATTGAAGTTAGGTGGCATTTTTTATTCTAAAGCAGGTATATAGTACTCTGTGTTCAGTGCAGATCAATATTTGCAGGAGAGATCAGAGGGAACCAAAATACGAACTAAATCCTTTGTTTCCCCTCATTATTCTCGGATCACTAAACTAAATATCTCAGTTGCATTTTTTTAAAARAGATTGGGATTTTACTGTAAAAGATTTATAGGAATGGCTTTTGGAACAGGCTGGTCTCCCCCAGATCATGTTTTTTCTCAAAAATTCAATTTCTGTGAAATTCCATTGTTTCTCTGAGACCATGATAATCTTGGAAAAATCACAGATAAGGAATCAAATTAACACTTTTCTTGATCAAATTCTTCATATCAGGATGATGTTCCATGCATCTTCGATCATGCAGAGTCCAGCTGATCAAACGTCATTTCTCTTCTGCTGCTGCCAGAAGGAAACAACAGAATTTCTGGTTCTAGCAGTCTAGGAGGAGCACTGATGCTCCACATCCCTCAGCTTTATCATCAAGTCCATGTCCCCTTGCAAGGGCTGCTTGTTTCTTCCTAAATGTGGGCTAAGTGAACAGATCAAATCCTCATCATTTTTCCAGCTCTAAGTTCTTACCACTCATTACATAACATCTATTTAAACAGCAAGTTTCACAGAAGGTGTCGCAGAGCAGGAGCTTTTCCTGAAGTTTCCTCTTTCTTTTCCAAAATCCCTGTTTGAAGAGCTGTGGTGCTTTTCAAGAGACCCTGAAATGATTCCCRGAGTATTTACCTTTTGCCCAAAGTGTCCGATTAAAAAGCTGTTAGCTACAGAAGTGTTTCCCAGGCTTTCTATGATGTCAATGCCGAAGTCTTTGCAAGCAAAAATCTGGAAACTCTGGAGTTCAAGGTTGCKGCTGCTAAAAATCTATTTAAAAGCACAATAAAGGAAGGAAAATAAAATCTCTCATTTATGTCTGTTGTTTYCTCATTGTACAATAAAAAGAAGGGTGTAAAAACACACAGTAATGTAGAACATGTATTTATTACTTGAAAATCCCCTCCTAATTCCTTATTTCTGCTTTCAATTAATCATAGAAACCCTTTTATATTCTGAAAACTTATTTTCATGTGGAAAGGAATAAGGTATGAAAAAAAGGACGATCTCATGATCAGTAACAAGTAGGCTCAAAAATGCTTTAAATATTGTGATTTCATTATTGGAAACAATACTAAGGCAAAAGGAATTAAAGTTTAGAGCAGGAAGATGCTTTGACTACATTCAGAAATATTAATTAAGTCATCTAATTGCAAGAATACTCTTCTTAGTATTCTTCTAGTTAGTCAATTGAGCATATAATAAAATTACAATTTAGTTAAAGTCAACAAAAGTACAACATGATTATTTTTTTCATTTTCATACAAATAAGCTTTTTGAGACAGAGAACATGCCAGCTAACCCTCCAAAAAAATGGACATCTTCAAAGGAAAGGCTATCGGATTAGAGTCTAGAAAACATGATTTACAGAGAAGCATAAATATTTTTTGCTCATCAAACAGAAGGTTAAGAGGAGACTTGATTGCAAGGTAAGATAAGTAAAATTAACCTATACTGGAAGAAAATATCAGGTAATAAAGAGGTTATTAGCAGCTAGAGGAATWGTGAAGCTCACCAATTTCAAATTAAAAATGGCAAATTTTCAACCAGGGGAAAAATTCCCACAGAAACTGCTAACCCCATGAAGATAAGCTCTCCACCATCTGCAGTCTACAAGTAGCTCAGATCCACAGGGAGGACTTCTGGCTGTATTATGCCAGGAGACAATTTCACTAGAACATTATGGAGGTTATTTTGGTTATTTTTGAAAGTAAGTCTGATTCTGCACAGTAGCAGTAAGGAGAACTTGCATGAACAAATGTTCTTCTGCCTTTATCACTAAAACAGAAACCTCTAGCTGAGGAACAAACTGGTACTGATTTTATTGCAACTGCGGCCTCTCCGCTGCCTAAAAGATGAAGACTCTTTAGAGAGGACACAGGCTCAAAGATTAAACAGTATTTTCTGAGCGTCATATCAAAACAGTGAGAATGAACATACCTGTGCTCCGCCTTGATTGCTCCAAGCCGTGAAGCTGTGCATCTGCACAGGGCCGCCCAGGTTTGCTGGCAAATATTCTGGATATACCAATAAACCACTCCTATATAGCAGAGAAATCAAAGGAGAATGTTTCTCTAAAGTACCAAATTTTGGCATCRTCATGTAGGGCCAAATTTTCTTCTTCATCCTCCCAATATCTAAAATCCTAAATCTGCAACAACTCCCATTGCAAGGCATTACTATTGGCTTGAAAACAAAAGACTGGGGTATACAAGTATTCATTGTGGGCATCCAATAATACCTGCATCCTGATAATACCTGATCCTYTTTGTGCATTTTCAGAATTAGCCATGCCAGGGCTAACACTCACCACGTGGGGTCACAGGCAGGCACATRCTGCAAGATGTTCACAGCACTTTCATGAGACTCTAACCACTATTTAGCTAAGCAATRGGTGGATCTGGATGGGTAAATCCCTTACAGTCCATAGATTCAGCCAGTTTGCACGCCAGATGTTCCTGGATGAAGGGTTTGCTTTGACCTCCTCCAGAGATATAAAATCCAGATTTTAATTCAGAATTTCTCAAAATTAAAAGTGACTATACCCGCTGACTTTTAACGTGATGTCACTTCTTTCGGTGATTCTATTTTAGGGAAGCATATGCAAAGGCTCTGGTAAATACTTTTGGATACTACAAGAACAACAGTTATATATAATATCTGATATTCATATAACATCCTTTATCCTGTTTGATAGAAAAATGCTTAGACTCCATTTCAGTCAGCTTAATCAGCTGAACTCTAAAATCTGCATAGTTGTGTTGCTATTATAGCAAACATATGGAGATAAGAAATACCGTTTCAGGTCCTGTAACCCTGCATCATGTTTCTAATGGCAGCCTGTGATAGATATTATCAGAGAAGCCTAAGAAAGAAATTGTGTATCATCTGTTCTCTTGCATCCTTCCCTCTTCTGCTCAAAACCCCTGCAATACCTGAAAATGAGCTTTCAGTCCAACACAAGAGCACAAACCTAAGTGCGCTGCTGTTAAATAGTTGACTAAAAATCATTCAAATACTGCAGCTTAACCTACATGAGGGTCATTTTACTCCCTATTTAAATAAGGGTCTAAACTGGAACTGTTCATAGCAGCACAAGGGAATGATGCAAGTTAATGAACTGGGCTTGTGAATGAAAACAACAACAACAAAAAAAAAGGTTGAATTAAAGCTAAAAATGCAATTCTGCTCTGAATTCCTCTTAACAAGGAGGACAACCCCCAGAAGAAAACAAAATTGGGTGAAAACAAAGAAAAAAGAGGAAAAAAAAGAAAAGAAATGAGAGAGATTAGAGAGAATGCTGCTATGTGTAGGACTAGCATAGATACTCGAGTACCTTGTGCAGGAATGAGCTACATTCTYACTAAAGGAGAGCAGAGGTATCCAGGATGATCCCTCGGGGTCAAGATGAAACAGATACCCATACCCAGCAGCRCACACCACATTCCCCTGCGGAGAAGCATATGCAGCTGTTAGAAAAATATATCCTGGGTTTCTGGAAATTAAAGCCTGTGTGGCTGGCAGCAGCTGGTAGTTTGTTTACTGTGTCCAAAATCCCTCATGTTTACACCTTGTCCTTAGGTCAATCTCACAAAATCCCACTCTCAAGCCAGGTAATAAGGTAATAGAGATTGATCACATAATAACAACATGTCACAGCAAAAGGGGATTTCTACAAGAACCAGGTAAGGAAAGAGAAAAAAGGAAAAAAAAAAAAAAAAGGAATGAGGAAAATTTCTTGCCTTTTGTAAAATCCTTTCTAACTAGAAAGGTGATGCCATGAAAGAGAGGTAAATCATAAGCATTCGGTTTCTTGATCTATTTTTCAATATGAAATTTCAACCTGAATTTTAATTTGAAATTTCAGTGTTTTCCTTTGTCTCCCCAAAGAAATACAGCAAGTTGGAAAGAACATTGGTGATAAAAAAAMAAGACACCTAAAAGTCAAAACAAAGCAGAGAGCTACATCTTCAGGATATATCAATACCTGGAAGTGAAAATGAARTTAATCTGTGATAAATTATAGGTTTTGTCTTCTTTTTAGCAGGACAAGTGAATAACTGTGGGAAGATGTGCTTTAGGTTACTACCGCTCAATTTCTTGTGATGCAGAAATTCCCAAGTTGCATTTTTTTGCCTTCTTTGTGCTTTTGCGTAGTTGTAAGAGGTGAAACAGAAGTGATCACAATGTAAGTCTTGCCTTGAAATGAGCAGTTTAATGCATACAGAGTCAAAAGCAAGTGACTCGTGCATGGGGGTGAACAGTGGTAAAGGAGCTCTTCTMCTTTAGAGCAAAAACCTGCTCTTATTCCCGTTCGGACTGAAGCCAAAAGTAGTTCTTTTGGGATGGTGTCCATCACAGGGATGCTTTCATGTACACATCTGGCTATGATCCCCCTTAATTATCCTAAGCGTCTAGGATAATAGACGCCTAGGATAGATAGCAAATTTGATGTTGAAGATACAAATAGATTTGATGTTGAAGATGCAAATAGATAACAAATGTGATGTTGAAGCCCAGACTGGTAAAGCTAGGCTTGCTGTGCAGGAGAAGGTAAGGCATAGGCATGTCCAGAGGGCAGTTCATCCGATCTACCCGTAGATAAGATGGATTGCTCTCTRGAGATATCTATCTCTCTAAGGAGAGCATAAGATGAGCTTTCCTGTGACTGTAAGGAGAGCTTGTTTGGTGAGATCAGGACTGACACCCACCAACTACCATCTCATAGGTCACCGGACAGTGTTAAAACAGTAATGGCTTTTTGGTCCCTGATGACCCAAATCAAAGTGAAACTTTGTGACCTGGAGGTGAAAGCCTCCGTATTCCAATTACTTTCTCCTGACCCATCCAAGTGAGTTCCCTGCAGTCATGATCTCTGACATCTGTCAAGCAACAAAGAGATATCAATAACCAAAGCACAGCTCTCTCTATCCCCTGGTAAAGCTGCTGTCTAAAAAAAAAAAAAAAAAAAAAAAGGAAAAAAAAAAATGTCCAGCCCCTGAGCCTTTTCCTTTAATAGAATACTTCTGCAGTCGAGTCACATTATTTCCAGGATCTTTTTACTTGTGACTCCAATTGTGCATTCTACAGATGATTCATAAGGAAAAACTGCATATTTATTCAGCCAGATAGTGGCTGGAGGGCAGGGGTTTTAGGCAAGCAGGGAATTTTGCGTGGAAATCAATTCTTTGTGGAAGTCAGTATATTACGAATGCCCATGCAACCAAAATTCCAGAGAGAAATTACCTCCCCAAGCATGCCAGATACCTGGAGGTATGCATTGCAAGTCAGTATAATAAAGTGGCTAACATTTTAAGTGTCTCTCAACTGCACAACAAGGCTAACGTAAGTATTTCACGAATTTCTTTAGATGACCAGAGTTCACAGTGCTGACCTTTAAGGTGACATTAAAGCTCCCTTTCTCCCCACWGTGGACAGCATGCCCCAACTTCAGAACCCGCTCGGATACTGGGAGTTTTCCTAACAGGTCAATCTTAGCATGCACTCACTTTGCAGAAGATTTTAGAAAAGATCATGTTGGGAATTAAATGATGAGGAAAAAATGGATATTAAACAGATGTACATTGTCCTCATTGGAGCTGAGTGAAAGCTATGTCCCAATATTCTCATACTTTAGGAGATCCTTGGTTTTTAAGGAAAGTTTCAAGGATAGTCACCAATGCAAATTTAGGCTCCAAAGTAACTGGAGCAGTTGTGTTAATGTTATTAGTGTTATTATTTATTAATGACAAGCTTAATTGAGAATAGAAGATGTAACACCATTTAACACAGGTCGCAGTCTATTTTAGCTGTAATCCTTGTCTTAAGAACTCTTAGGAAACAGGAAAAGAGGCAATCAGGCAATGGAAATATGAGTCTTTCCCATTACATTCTTTGAACATCCCCATTCAGTTTTAGATTTTACCAAACCAAACTACWTCTTTTAAACCACTGTGATCAGAATAAAAAGGTACCCCAACTGTAGAATTTCATGGTGCCAGCACTGGACCAGCATTATTTTCATTTACTGAATTATTATCATACTAAAGAAGAGTCCGGACAACACAACTAAGAACAAATCCAGCACTTTGCTTTAGAAATGCTGTGGGTCTTTCTTCTAATATCCATGTTCTACCATGTCTTCTGCTAAACATCACTTGGTATTATAGGACAGCACAGCTAATAACAATAATATGAAGTTACACAGATAATAATAATAAGTTGGGTAACTCCTTTAGAGCCAAATCTGCTGCTGCTGCAACACCTTGAGTAGCTTCCTGCAAGAGGCTGCTGATGATGAGGTTTATCTTCAACCCTTCAAGGGCCATGTGCTACTCTAGKTAGAGTAACACATCTTTGGAAAACTGACCATCATCACTTCACCCATACAAGTTATTGCAACAACCCTTTTGAAAAGCTGAGCCACGGGCGATTTAGCAGACAGCTTCAGGGTAAGTCAGTACACAATACAACAAAGTTCTGTGTTTAGTAGAGCTGAAACTCATGCAATTCTGCCTAGCTGTTGCATTTTTTAACCATATTTGGTGGTCTTAAAAATGATAAATAGGTCCTCTGAGGAGTTACAGAAAAGTCATCTCCTTCTTTCTAAGTGCTGTCTTCAGAGTAACATGGGAAATGTGTAGGTCTCTTTTCTAACCTTCAAATTTAACTGCATTTTTTCCCTCATGGAATAGAAGTCCAGGCGGCAACTAGGTCTTTACATACACTTAGTAATTGCTTTGACTTCTGTGAGGTAGCAATAGAGCAGGTAAGGATTTTTTTTTTTTAGGAAATGTGCATTTCTCATATCTGAAAGTTGTTGAAAGGTCTATTTCAGTGAATTTCCAGACTTGAAATAGTTCGGAAGGAAAATATTTTCAAATCACTGATAATTATATTTTTTCTATTAAATATTTAAAAGTGACTCTCTATTCTGAAATGTTAGTTAATTTGCCTATAAATATTATTTATTTTGTATTGTGTGTTTCTTTTACTATCCCATCAAAAATAGCTTTTAACAGCATAGTCAAGAAGCAAATGTGCATATAAGCTCTGAAAGAAATGAAAGTCTGTATCTTTCTGATATCTCTTCTTAGAAAGGTGTTTTATAGTTGAATTACTTACCTCTATGTGGTTGGCAGGAGCCCTGATGTATATCCCTGCTGGTGACAATGCTTCAATGCTGGATAAACCATCTGTTCCAGAAAGGCCAAGCAGTATATTGTTACTAACTCTGTTCCCCTTTTCCAGTCTCTCTCCTAAAAATAAAATCAAAAAAAATATACATACATACATATATATATATAGAGAGAGAGAGAATTGGAAACCTCCTATTACGCAAATTATTGCACAATTTTCCAGGTTTTACCCTATTCACTGTGCTGGCTTGGTCCACCYGAGAAATGCTTTTGTTTCACTGTCCCTATGTATGCCAATGTTTGAAATGGACTCAGGAAACTGTTTAACACAGTTAGTTTAACAGTCAGTATAAATAAATACTATATATTGTATAGAGGCTCAATAGAGACCATGATTCTGCAATTCAATACGCATAAGGCTGTCTATCAGGTCTTATATATAAAGCATATAGCAGACTCGCTCTATACCAGGTTTATAAAGAAACTGAATAAAGAAATTATTAGAAAACATATTTTCCAGATGGGAAAGAAAAAAAAAAAAAAAAAGAGAGAGACTGAGTTTGAGGAAGTGGCTTTGCTATGGATATTTTGGCAATGGCGCAATTTAAAGATCTTATCCCCTGTGTCTCCCTCTATTGCCCCACTTATGAGTAAGAAGAATCCCAAACAGAATTTGAAACACCCAGAGCAGCTCTGCACCAAGGTGTTTCCCCACATACAACATAAGCAATGAAGCACGAGAAGAAAAAAGAAACATCAGCTGACCAAGGGATCATAATTCATTCATGGGGTCCCACAGATCTAATTACAGTAAAGAATAGAAAATAAAAAAAAAAAAAAGGAAAAGAAAAGAAAAGAAAAAGAGAGAACAGTAAGAAGTGGGTAAAAATGGCCCTAAGGAAATGGCTGACAAAAACTGGCAAGCCCTTGGTGGAAGAGAAGTCCAAACAAGGGACAAGCTCCAGTCAGCCATCACGTAYATCCCCACTCTGGCATAAAAAGGAGGCCATGCCTGTTTGGCCCCTACCTGTTACAAATAAAGTATATTTAACTACTCCTATTGAACATAAATGATTAAATTCCACTACAAAAGCTCCAGTTGTATCCCATGCACAGATCCCATTACTAGCACCATTACTTTGGGTCTGCAGAGTAATTGCTTTTACTCTTTTCCACAATATTTTCAGACTTTCTCCATTTTTGGAACAAAATACATTAATGAAATATTTCCTTTCTAGACTGTATTTACTACAAACAATGCAACTATCAGAGCATAATCAGAGTCCTAAAGAAGTCTTTTCTACAGTCATATAGGTTTAAGAGGAGGCAGAAAAAGTCTTGGCCTCCAAGATGAGATGTAGTGTGTGAATTAATTTCAAGCCTAGAGCAACTTYTTATGACTGTCTTGCAAACCCCCTGAAAATGAGGGTTTTAGATGAAATCACTGAGAGAGTCTAACTCTGGAGACACAAACAGCCAGCTATAATACATATGCCTTCACAGGTAACAAAATGATATATAAATTCATCTATCAGGACCTCTGGAGCTGATGACAGTGAAGCTATTAAAGACATCTTGGGGATAAGGTGTATTCAGGCTGAAACCTCTGAGGAAACGTTCAGTTCAGCCCACAGTCCTTTAAGTCAGACACGTGTACTAGCATGAACGTGCAAATGCATCCTCAGGATGGAGATCTTGTTCTGCTTCCTCATTGTCACGAGGGCCCTATGTCTCACCTTGGGCAAGAGGTTGCATCTCTCTGGGCCACCTCTCTTCATCTGCAAGATGTGTACAGTCACTCTCCTTTTATAGGTTCCCCCTCTGTTTAAATTGCAATCTATCACATCTCATTATGTTTCTATGCAGGGCCTAGCATAGAGCCTCTCTGTGCGAGTTGCACTGCAGGATCAGGGCTGAAGGTCTTTCTTTTTCTTCTTTAATTTTAAAATCGGTCATTTTCATTCCATCTCTGATAGAAAACAAAAATCTAGAAATATTTTTAAGTATTCAGGCGATGTAAGATCCCAGCAAGTCAGTCTCCTGATGGTTAGTTAGGAGAGATATTTGTTGTTTAACATTTTTGTTGCTCCAAGCTCCAATTTATTTAAGTGCTAAATCCTCTGCTTAACTTTTAACATATGCTTTCACTCCATTATCGGCAATGCCAAATGACTAAAGTTAAAGGTAAGTATGTTCTTAAATGCCTCACTGAATTGGAGTCTTAAACATTACTTAATGGTGTTCTTCTGAAGACAGATAAATCAATTCCCTAAAAATAAAAAGGGAAGTAAATCAAGTAAGGGCTGACCAGAAGACACAAATAGTGTAAGGACAAATGGAGACAGATACTAAGTGTTGCATGAGGAAACCTGGGAGCTTTACACCAGATTAACTAATTCTAGAAAATGTGGAATGATGGATTTAATCCATCAGGATGCACCTACTGTTTTTTCCCTCCACAGAGACATTTTCACACAAACAGCAATCAGAATAATTTGCTATTTTCCTGCTTCGCTTACCCAGAAGAATCCCATGGCCTGAAATGTCAGAGAAAATATTACAGTCCACTGTAAGGTTCGATACCCCAGTCAGACGGAGTCCTTGGCCAAAGGAGTCCAAAATGCAGGAGCCACGTATGTAGGAGTCTGG